AACCTATTGTAGAATGTTTTCTATATTTAGCACTACTTAGCGTCAAATCAGTGCCTGGAATTGCTGTAATAATTTGATAATTGAAACCAGATTTAATTTGTACTTATTTGGTAAACACAATGCATTTGAATGCCTCAAAATGATGCTTGTAAAACATAGTGGTAAAATTTATGGATGACATTTTATTATTAATATTAAACAAATAATATCTTTAAATGAATCGAAAATATTTCTTGAAAATAATATTATTTTGTATTAGAAGCACATCTCCAGTTCTTCATATATGTAAGATTCTGATTTTTATTATAATAAATATTTAATAAGTAGCAGATGTGCTTTTAATAGAAGGTGATAGTTTTGGAGTGAATTTAGCACTGTACAGATCACATGATAAATTAATCCATCTGCTTCTAAATCTGTATGACATAATTAACTCACATATGGTAACCTAGCAACCTGGAGGATGTGAAGATTATCTATTATCACTGTATTATCTGCTGTATCTTTTTTGGTGTTGTAAAATGAAACAATAGACTGCTTTACTGTAAATTAAAATTGTTGTTTTGGAAGCAATAATTGTTCAATTAAATATGAAAAAAACTAGCCATATATACAGGGGTTAATTATACATTATACATTTTGCTTATTTTGCTGACTGGAAAATGCGCTAAATTAAAACCCAGTGAATATGTAAAATTGAGCATAGAACGCATTATCTAAATGACAAAACAGTGAATTTAATGGTGGCCATTTTTATTTAAAAATCATCAAAATCAAGCATTTCTCAGCTGTTTACAGATGGATTTTGCTCAAACTTGATATATACCTTGGACATTATAGGACCTTGATGCACACCATTTTGTTTTTCAGATAACATTCAAAATGGCCGATTTGCGGCTGATTTTGTTTTAATTAATGCTGTTCCAGAGCAATATCTCTCAATACTTGTTTGACGATCAGATACAAATGTCAATTATTTAAATGTTAAACAATCATCATAATCATATTCCTGACATGTTTATATTCCAGCTATATTACTATAAACAAAACTATATATCTTAAATTCGATAACTAACGGGGACTGTGTCATGCAAGGCTTGTTTAAAAAAATATACAGACGCTGATTAGCGTTGTGCTCCCAATTTTTTTGCCATCATTCTCGGAAACTAGAAAACACAGCCATCTCATCATGTACCCATTTTGAGATCTTTATTACATATTACCGCAATTGTAAACTCTTACATCTTTATCCACCTTTGATTCTGACCTTTCCAGAATAATGAATTTATTGTTAGAATGGTTGATTAGATAATAATCTGTTCTGCATATACTGTGACAAATATTGTAAAATATTTATTTTAGCTGGAATTAATTTTTGGGTGTTTTGTATGGAATTTATTTTCACTGATTGTTGATGAGTTGAATGTAAAATATAGAAAAAAAGTATATTCACTGGAATTTATTTTAACTGAATCATTCCTTCAGCGAAAATAGCAAAAATTAATTCTAAGCGAAAATAAAGTATTTTACAGTACATAATTTTTTCTTTGAATAAAATAATTTGATCTCATACTAGTAGACATTGCATAATAGTTTATAACTATGTACATTTAGTATAACTTAGGATACTACATGTAACACTTATCCTGATTGGTTATCATAGATTCAATAACAAAAAATAACCAATTGGATTGTGTGTGACATTTATAAATAACCTTTGTTAATCTGCACCTGATTGGGTTAATTAACAGTGTAGTTGCCATATGGGTTAAGGTGAGCCTATTAAAGTGCATGTACTATGTTTTCCATGTCACTGATTTTCATTTATTTCTTTTGCTTTTGATTCATGAAGAGAACGTGGCAGGCACTGTATTGAAATATCCCAACACGCACTCGTCAGACCAAGTGCTCAAAGGTGACTAGCGTTATTCGTCATGGATCCTGTTTTGGTTTCTGGAAGGTGAAGTGGGTGATACCATTATACCACAGAGTGGTGGCAATTTATGATTTCTTTGTGCTAATCGAAATTTCTATTAGATACTGTAGTTCCGAATGATCATTGCAGTGCTAACTCTGAAATACTGGTGCACTCTTGAACATGTTGTTGAAGCAGCCTTTACCCCATCTTTAATGGTATCATCTAAATCATGTTGTTGAAGCAGTCTTTACCCCATTTTTAATGGTATCATCTAAATCATGTTCCAGAGAACTCGACATGCTGTGTTCTTGACTCACTATATTTAAATTTGCATATTATTAATTATTTCAATCCACAAGTTTTATGACATTTTGTTTTCCTGTTTGTGATTTGATCAATTCTTTGTATCCCATCTTTTACCTAGAAGAGAAATAAGTAAACAGTGTCACACCTCCTTTTTGGGGGTATCTGTTGTCAACTATTCTTAAACTAGACTTACTCTAGCTGTACTCAAAATATATTTATTGGATCAAGTATAGTTTTTGGGAACATTGTTCGTCTTCATGGTATGTATCAGTCAATGTGAGCCTTACCCAACCCTCCACAATTCCTGTCTTCAATAGTATTGCCCACATCTCAAATCAATATATTATTACTTAGGTATCAGGGAAATAGAATCACAATTGTTACATGAATTTTTAAAGCTGACAAAACTATTCATATTTCATGATCAAGGCATTAATATGGGGTACTTGAACTTTGTATATATTGCATCTCCCCTTCCTCTGCTTTTACTATAGTGGGGAAATTCTTCCTGTCGTGCTTACATTGGCTGGTGCGTAGTTGCAATGATTTCATCAATTTGTGATATTTTCAGGTACAATTATGATGAGTGGATGTGGGATTCTGACCAATGGGAAGGGAACGAGAAGAGAGTACGGTGAATTCAACTTGGATGAATTGACGGTATGACTTGTGTTTATATTTATGGAGTTTTAAATGAAGATGAATGTTATTTTCTTGTTCTCTGTTGTTAATTTCTGTGATAGGTATGTCTGTTTTCAAGAGCCTGGGACAATGAAAAAACATTTATTGATAGTGGATGTATAATTTCCAACAATCTTCTTCAAGTGACTGTCATCTGACCTTTCCATTATATGGATTTAAACTAACTGAGCATATTTTTGGTATATTTCTCTCCGCATGCACAGGAAGGAGATTACGTTGGTCTTGTCAGGAAAGCCAACGGCACGTTACACTACTACATTAACGGTCTAGACCAAGGCGTGGCGTCGTCACGAACACCACAGACTGTATATGGTGTGGTTGATTTGTACGGGATGACAGTAAAAGTTACAATTACAGATAGAGACACACTTTCACCGATCTATGAAAGACTTGAGAGGAGATCATTTTTTGGTTTGAATTCTGGGAATTCTGAGTACAATGAAGGTGAGCTATCCACCGGTACTTCCTACACTTCAGATCTTAGTAGGAGTGTCTGAGTTCTTTATTTGGTTACATCAGAATGTTTTTTTTAAGTGAAACATTCAGTGTTCTCATCAGCAACTTTGCCACTGTGAAATATTGAGATTGCATCTACAAAAAACTTCTTGGATCACATGGAATTGAAAACAGAATGCATAAAAATAAATTGAATGTTTTTCAGATTGTCTAATTTTACTGTAAAATGTTGCAAAAAAAAGGTTCAGGGAGAGCACTGGATACAGTTGTCACACCATATCATGTTTTGTTTTGGTTACCATGTGACTTTAACTTATGTTTGTGTACTCAAAATTTTGATACATTTTGCCTAATGTCTATGGTGCTACTATCAATAATAGATGGGCATTTTCTTATGTACATAATTTGGACTGTATAATTAGAATCATTGTAATTACTTGATGCCAAAATTGACCTGTTCTGACCTTCAACGTAAACTCAAAATAGTTTTCCATTCTCTGTCCATTGCGTCCCCTATTCTCCTGATCTTATCTAACCATGGTATTTGGAAGGGTGGATGTGATGACCAGAGAGAATGGAACATTCATTTGAGCGGCAAAAACAAGTCTTGTGGCTCATTCACTCTCAGTGAAATCTCGTCCACCATTTTGCCTGCCTGAGAACGTTTGTAGATTTAGTCAAGTCTAGTTATTTGCATTTAGACTGCAAGAGAGAAATGACTGAAAAGTCATAGACTTGAATTCCTAAATAACTTAGACAGTACTAGCACTACTGTACTGCATAAAAGGGTTGTTGATTCTTACAGATATCTGTATTCAGTGAGAAATTGTGTATGGAAGGTTTCTTACTGATACTGGTGATCTGAAAATACCGGTTCAGTCAGAGTAAAGTAAATCTTAAAGTAAATTATCAGTTTTTAGTCCCCGTTCGGACGAAGTTCGAAAACAGGGACTTATAATTCGATCTCCGTCCGTCGGTGCGTCTGTGTGTCCGTGCGTCTGTGCGTCTGTGTGTTCGTGCGTCCGTCCGGAGTCATATCTCAGAATCCCTGACCGATTTTGTTCATTCTTTGCATGTGCCTAGTACTTTATGTGGGACATATGCACATGCAGTGGTTTAGCGATTTGATTCAAAATGGCCGACTGGCAGCCATCTTGTTTTTTGAAAATGTTGTATTTTGGACATGCTTTGTCAGTTTTCATTCAAACTTGGTACATAGATTATACATGTTAGTATACATGGCCATGACGATTTATTTCACAATTGGATCAAAGATGGCCGACTGGCAGCCATCTTGTTTTTCGAAAATGTTGTATTTTGGACATGCTTTGTCAGTTTTCATTCAAATTTAGTACATAGATCATACATGTTAGGATACATGTCCCCGACCGTCCGTGAGTTCCTGAGTCTGTCCGTCTGTCCTTCCGTTCGTCTGTCAGTCTGTCCAGAGTCATATTTCAGAATCCTGTGGACCGATTCCGTTCATTCTTTGCATGTGCCTAGAACCTTATGTGGGACATATGCCAATGCAGTGGTTTAGCGATTCGATTCAAATTGGCCGACTGGCAGCCATCTTGTTTTTCGAAAATGTTGTATTTTGGACAAGCTTTGTCAGTTGTCATTCAAACTTGGTACATAAATGATACATGTTAGGATACATGTCCATGACGATTTATTTCGCAATTGGATAAAAGATGGTCGACTGGCTGGCATCTTGTTTTTGTTTTTTATGTGGTATTTTGGACGTGCTCTGTCAGTTTTCATTCAAATTTGGCACATACATGTACTTTATACATGTTAGGATGCATGTCCATGACAATTTGTTTCAAAATCTGGTCAAGGATGGCCGATTGACAGCCATCTGACTTTTGGCCTTACTACTATATTTCCACAATTTATGTACCATTTTCATTCGTATTTGGCACATGCATCATACATATCAGTGTGTTTCATAATCAGATCAAAGATGGACGAATAACGTTTATTTTATTTTTGGCCATATTACTACTACACAGAACACGTGTTTTGATGTAAATAAGCAATCTGTTGTATACGCCACTTGGAACTCAAGTTTCAAGGACACGTTCGCAACAACCCCTTCGCTTTAATATGACGAGCACAAAGAGAACTTTCAAAAATTTAACGGGGACTGTTTCATTTTCAATGACTTGTCTGATTTTTTTCTCTTTTTTTTTTCAAGATGCTAATGGAGAGCAAAATGAGAGAATTTTATTTCATAGTAACTGTGGTGCACACGCTATGGTTATCAACAATGGGAAAACAGCACTCCGACCACAGTATGTATTGTTTATTACCATCTATTGTATGCTAGTGTGCCAGTCTTCATCTCAAGTGTTACTGTAGCTGGGAATTTTTTTTGGAGAAGATAATGATCTTACTGACTTCCTGAAAGCAAAATAGCATGCAACACAGCTGTTTAGGTCAACCAATCAGCTGACCATATTACTAGCCACAGGTATTAACGTATTCATGGCCGCAGTAAGCATCCTTGAGTCTTCAATAAACATTTAGATTTAGTTCACATATGCTATGCTTCATGGTGAGGGTAATTCATCTACATGGAGTGGGTGGTTTGATAGGGATTGGTAGCTGATGGTGGGTAGTGGCTGGTCACCATGCTAAACATGAACAAATCTTGGTTTCGTGGATCTGACAGGTTTGTTAAAGAGGGACTGGTCAATTTCTGGGATTGTTAAGAGACAAATCTTGTGGATGATAGGCTATCTGCATTGTTGACAGCATGGTAAAATATACATTAAGGATGTTTCATTCTTTTCTGTGATTTGTTTTTGGAGAGCACACTTATAATGTGGCAGTCAATATGGGATACCATTATTTGTTCTATGTATCCTGCTGTTTTTGCACATGCCTATAGAAATATATCAAGTGTATGCTCATACAAAAATTTGCAGTTTGTGTGCATTTTGTTTGGGAACAGAAAATAGTCGAGAGTAAATTAGTATATACAATTAAATGTGCACCCTACATAAACATATCAAGATATTAAAACACTAGCCTAACTAAGATTAAGCTGCCATAGCCTAGAAATTGAAGTTGAGAGACATACACGTCCTAAAACATCAGCTGATGAAAGAATTTGCAAAATATGTAAAACAACAGAAGACAAAATACATTTCATAATACACTGTCAAATAAATACAAATGAAAGATAGGGAATTTGTGAACAATTTATCAGAATGTACAATAATTTCTCAACACAGAATTACATAGACAAATTCAAAATGATGTTAAACACGACAGAGCCATCTCTGCTTAGACATGTTATCAGATACTTAAACAATGCTTTTACTGAAAGACTAGCACTAACTAGTAGTTAAGTTGATGTTTAAATACACTATATAAAAAAAAAAAAAAATACTTTATTTTTTACAAACCAAAAAAGAATTGTAACTTCTTTACGGTTATAATAAAGGTTATGGATGACATTCGTGCGCGCATTAGTTTTCGCCTGTTCTCCAAAAAAAAAAAAAAAAATCTCCAACGACGACTCTTCACAGATCTGTTTTCTGTCTGGAACTTGCCGACTCATATTGTCGCAAAGCGCTGGCTTGTCGTAAAACTCGTTTTGGACTATCTAAAAACGTGCCAATTTTGTCGTAAATGATCTTCTGCACATGCGTATTGCGTTGCCGGGAATTTCAACATGGCGACTACGCCACCAAAATACGTGAGCATAAAAGTTCACATTAAAAACAGGGGGATTGTTGTTGACTGGTACGCAATTGACGTCGGCTAGGGAGAGTCCTGTGGATTTAGCAGGATTTTTTTTTTGCCAATATTTTACTACCTGTAACATTTGTATGGCTTCCAATGTGTATTAAATTGGAAATATTT